GCCGGAGCGCGAGGCCGAGCCGGCCAAAGAGGCGCGCGTCGTGGGTTCCGAGCTCGTGGACACTTACACGGTGTGGTGGGGACGCGGGTACCTAAAGAGGGGATGGCGATGGGAACCTGGAATCCGAGTCCATGGGTTTGGGGAGGGGTCTGCGATTCTGACTACGGGACCTGTGTTAGGGGAGTCGAGGGAAAGCGCTGGGTCCCCGCAGGGCCAGGAGGGTTCTAGGGCGGGCCCGAGGAGGGGGTTTGGAAGGGTACGCGGTCAGAAAACGAGACTTGGGTTGGAGGGGATCTGGGGATAAAGGAGGCCTGGGGAGGAGGGATGTGTAGATGAGGCGGAGCCCATCGAGATCCTCCTGGTCTGGAGGTGTGCTCGCTGCGAGGCCTTGACAGGGGGTCTGGGAGTAAGGGATTGGGAAAGGGGGTCCTGATGGATGGAATCCAGGGAAGGGGTCAAGGCCCAGTGGGAGCGTGGTGAAGGAGAGGGGGCGGGGTCCCGATCTGAGGGCGCGGGTCGGGATCTGCTCGGTGAAGTGAGGGAAAGAGCTGGGCACCCCCCCCCGCCACCCTACGGGTCGGGCGGAGGGAGACCAGATCCTGGGAGGAGTGGAACCCAGCCAAGGGAAATGGGGGGAGGGGGGAGGATCTCTGAGCTGAAGTGCAAGACCTACAAATCCTTAGGGGCCTTCTTGGCTTTGGGCTGTGGAGGCGAGATGAGGCAGCAAGCCGCCTCCCCACACACTTCTAGGGATGAGGGAGAGGGTACCGAAGGCGGGCGTAATTTCCGACTGCAGTGGGGCTGAAGACTCTCCCGAATCTGGGTGGAGTTGGATGCCAGGCCTTTGAGCCTGATGGGCTGCCTGGCAAAAATTTGCTCTGGGGTGGGGGCTCTTTGAGCATCTCCCAAACTCCTGTCCTTTGTTCCCTGGATGTTGGGGAGGGGGCCCCTCCCTTGGCCCTCATCCTAACCCCCCACCCTAGGGTCTTCCCTCTGGCTCTTTTTTCTTTTCCTGGGAGTAAGGGTGGAAAGCTGCCAGAATGGAATACAGGTTGGGGGTGGATCTGTAGCAACAGGCTGGCCCTGGAGAAATGGCTGCTGCTCAGGGCTAGAGGTTTCAGCAGAGTTGACTCTTTCCTCCTCCTCCTTCCTTTCAGTAAAGAGGGTCTGAAAACTAGTAGGGGTGGGGGATGGGGTTTGAGGGATGAGGTCTCTGAGCTGATGGCTGGCTATCACCCATTGGCTACAATCAGCTGGATCTTCAAAAAGCTCTCCATATTCAGGGCTTTGCCCCTCTGACTGTGAAAGGGGAGGAGGTCTGTAATCCAGTCTTACCCTACCTTCATCTGTCCCTAAGTGTGCCCAGTTGGATGTTATTAACACCCATCTTTTGTTAGGGTGTCAAACCCTGCACAAAGCATTTTATATGTATTGCTTTACTTGATCCTTAATCCTAGCAGATTTTAAGATGGAGGAACTGAGGCTCTGAAAGAGCTTTGGCTCCCAATCACTTATAAGTGATACATAAGGCATAGCCCAGAAATGGCAGAAACAGGTTTTGAATCCAGGTTTTTTTGTTTGTTTGCTTTGTTTTTTGGCATTGGGGATTGAACTCAGGGGCGTTTTACCTCTGAGTTGTTATATTCTTAGTCCTTTTTATTTTTTGAGACAGTGTTTTGTGAAGTAGTTGAAGGTCTTGCTAAGTAAGTTGCTGAAGCTGGTCTTGAATTTTTTTTTTTTTTTAATGGGTGCTAATATCTCCAAGCTGTTTCCTGATGAAAGAGTGTGAAGTTGGGGGAAGTAACCCAAAGTCCTTATTTAATATTTATTTTTAATATTTATTTTTTAGTTGTAGTTGGACACAATATCTTTAATTAATTTATTTATTTTATGTGGTGCTAAGGATCGAACCCAGAGCCTTGCACATGCTAGGCGAGTGCTCTACCACTGAGCCACAACCCCAAAGCATCTTTAATCTTCTTGCAAGCCTCCCAAGGCACTGAGATTACAGGCATGAACCACAACCCCAACTTAAACCCAGCCATTTTTCAAATGGCTAAATTGTATTGCCTCCTGTTTGGGCTAATTGTCCACCACTGCTTCTGATAGTAGCTTCATGGTATCTAAACTCCTGGTGGAGCAACAGAAGTCACATTGAAAGGGTTGGGGGCGGGGGCGCTGTGGTTGTGGCTCAGTGGTAGAGTACTTGTCTAGAATGTGTGAGGCCCTGGGTTCAATCCTCAGCACCACGTAAAAATAAATAAATAAATAAGAAAGGGTTGGAAAAGGATTTGCTTCCAGGATACAGCCAGGGCCCCTGGAAAAGAGGTACAGCAGAGAAGCTGGTCCTCTTAGACCTGCCCCTACTCTGCCTCCCTTGAAAAAGGTGGCTTTACCTATAGCTCAAGTTGGGTTTTGAATTACCTGGAAACAGGAAGAAAAGACCTAAAGAGGTGCCTTGTAGTGGTAGAGTCACCTTTTTCTTTCTGATGATTGAAGCCAGAGGCTTGTCCCATATGCTTCCCAGACCTAATGCTAGGGCTGTGGAGGAGGCCAAGAGGGACTCCTGCTGCTCAACAAAGGTCAGAGCAGAGACTGGTAGGTGAAGACAGTCATTTGGAGAGGGCCTACAGCTATTGCTGTGGGGACAGGGGACTCCTTGTTGTTGGTTTGCTTCCTTTGCCACAAGGACAATGATCTTCTCTCTTTAGGTTTATATCATACAGGTCACCGATGGCAACCATGAGTGGACAGTCAAGCACCGCTACAGTGACTTCCATGACCTGCATGAAAAGGTAACCCTTAGGAAGTGGGAGCCTGTGTCTCAGGGATTGGGGATTTGGAGGCCAAGTTCCCATTGTGTCACATGTTAGTTTTAGGGCAAAACCAGCTCTTCTAAAAAATCAGTTTATTAATGTAACTGACAAAAGAGCTTGTGGATCCTAGGAGTTTGGCTCCAATATGAGACAATCCATAAGGAGATATTTGAATTTTGATTTTAAAATTGCCAGTCCTAGCTCAGATATGAGATAGTTTCCCGGAGAAGGGACAGGTTTGAACTTTTTCCACCTAATATAGCTATTCCAGAGCCTGTACTTTAATATCAGGCTGTGATTCCATTTCTTGCTTTTAGAGAGAGCTGCTTTTCCCTGGGTCATTTGCAGTGAGAATGTTTTAAAACACATCACTGCCTCAATTGGTTTTCATCTTGGTTTGAAAAAGATGGCAATTTTAGGGGCCCAGAAGTGTTGCTTTTCTGAATATCTGCAAAGTCTCCAGATGGAATTCCTCATCTGGAATTGTATTGATATCTCTAATACTAAATTCCAAGTGCATTAGATAGGTCACCAACCCTGGTACTGCTGCCAGGAGGGACTGTGGAAGTTAACGACAAGTGCCTGCCCTCTGCTCCTCACCTTGGTCTTTTATAGGCACAGAGCTACTTGGTATGTGGTTGATATGCTTGTCTTTTCTTACAGCTTGTTGCAGAGAGAAAGATTGATAAAAATCTACTTCCTCCCAAAAAGATAATTGGGAAAAATTCCAGAAGCTTGGTGGAAAAAAGGGAGAAGGATCTGGAGGTGTACCTCCAGACTCTGCTGGCTGCCTTCCCTGGCGTGGCCCCTAGAGTGCTGGCCCACTTCTTACATTTTCACTTCTATGTAAGTTCCTCTTAGGGTTCTTGCCTTTGCCTACAAACCCACACCTACCAAAACTCAAGGCAACAAACCAATGTAGACCTAGACTTTGAGAAGAGGGTAGTCTAGAGTCTGACCCTAAGATTAGGATGGAGAACATCACTCTGCCTAGGGATGGATTATAAGCAGAAACACACTCATTGGCTGATTTGCCTAAGTTTGAATGACTGTGGCCACAGAGGTTTTCCTCTACAAGATTTTGTGTGTGCATGGTTTAAATCCAGGGTCTCATACATGCTGGGCAAATGCTCTACTATGAACTATATCTCCTTTTCTTTTTTTACTTTATTTTGAGACAGGTTCTCACCAAGTTGCCCAGGCTGGCCTTGAACTTGTGAACCTCCTGCCTCAGCTTCTTGAGTAGTTGGCATTGTTGGGCCACCACACCCAGCTACCACAAGACATTTTATTTAATAAAAATGGCCTGTAGGTATTTAAGCCAGATTTCCATCCAAATGAGTTGAGCATGGATCAGACAGGTGATATCTGGCATAGACTATTGTTGAGTTGTTAATTTATAGCCCAAGATAGTTTGTGATCAGTCTATGATGGCAGAGTATTGCCATCTTGGCATATTGTCAGGGTCTGCATTGCCAGGTTGCTGATACTTTCCTTTAAAGGGAGGGTATGCCGTAGAGCAGCACTGCTCTTCCTTCTGAGCAGAGGAACAATCGTGGACCACTGGGAACAGAATAAGTTATCAAACCTGAAGAAGGACAGTTTGACAGTGTGAGACTGAAAATGTTAAAAACTCCAGTAGTTCCACTTCCGGAGAATTTATTCTAATGAGAAATCCAGGAACTGCAAAAAAGAATATATATGAATAAAGGTGATCATTCCAGGTTTTGTAACAAGATACCAAAGAGTCCAAAAGTCCAAAGAGAAGAGGTTTAAAAAAAAAAAAAAAATGAAAGAGTACAGCCTTATGATTAGATAGCATGATGCTAGAAAATGATGGTGTAGCTCTGGATTTGTTGATGTGAAAAAATAAGTATATTATATGAAAAGAACAGGTCATAAAACAAGATATAGACTAGAATTTCTTTTTGTTTTCAGTACTGAGGATTGAACCCAGAGCTTTGCATGTGCTATGAAAGCACTATACCACCTAGCTACATCCCCAGCCCTTCTTATTTTTTGAGACTGGGCTTACTAAATTTTAGAGGCCTGCCTCAGCCTCAAATCCTTCTGCCTTAGCCTGCTGAGTAGCTGGTATTATATGTGTGCCACTGCACTTGGCTCTAGGGTTCTTTTAAAAGAAAAAAGTTTACATATAAGAAGTTCTGGGGGCTGGGATTGTGGCTCAGCGGTAGAGCTCTCACCTAGCATGGGCAGGACCCGAGTTCGATCCTCAGCACCCCATAAAAATAAAGGCATTGTGTTGTGTCCATCTACATCTAAAAAATAAATTAGAAAGAAAAGAAAAAGAAATTCTGGGAGGTTATACATTAAAAATGCTAGGAGCAGTTTTCTTTAGATGGTAGATTTTCAGGTAGTTTGCATTTAATTACTTTTCCTCTTATGTGATGAAAATAGGAAAAAACCCACTTCCTATTCATTCTCCCCTCATGGGAAGGAATGTCTGGGTCACAGTCAGGCCCAGCCCACTCCTTTAAAATACAGCTTCCTTGAAGTCATTGAAAGGAAGACATCTGAACCTTTTGGGAGATACTAAATAAAGCCTGGAGATTTGGCATTTGATGGTGGTTCTAATCTTGAGCCACTAAGCTGGAAGGACCATGTGGGAAAAGGGTGGCAATTACTGCTAGTGTATGTCTCTGTGTTTTGGATTTTATCTAGCATATACCAGCAGTTTATGTGGTTAATACTTTCCTTTTGTAAGCATTTTTTAAAATTTTCTTTTTGAATATTTTTTTAGTTGTCAGTGGACCTTTATTTTATTTTTTATGTGTGGTGCTGAGAATCAAACCCAGTGTCACACATTATAGGCAAGCACTCTGCCTCTGCCACTGAGCCATAACCCCAGCCCCTTACTTTTTTTTTTTCTTATGTGAGAAAAATTACATTCCTTATGTGAGCCTTTGAGACAAACTTTATTGGTTAGTATTTTAGTATTTTACAAAGTACTGAAATTTTAAAAAAAGAAAACTTTGATTTCCCATTTAAGGATGAAACTATATAAGCATCTTGTCAAAGTACAACTTGTTTAAGATCTATGCATCAAGCTGGGTGCCATGGTGCACGCCTATAATCCCAGCAGCTTGGGAGGCTAAGGCAGGAGGATCATAAGTTCAAAGCCAGCCTCAGTAATGGCAAGGTACTAAGCAACTCAGTGAGACCCTGTCTCTAAATAAAAAGGGCTGGGGATGTGGCTCAGTGGTTGAGTGTCTCCGAGTTCAATCCCCAGTACTTCCCCCCTCCAAAAAAAAAAAAAAGAAAAGATCTGTGCATCAAGACTTTTAAAAAAAACAGGGATTGAACCCCAGGGCACTTAATCACTGAACCACAGCCCCAGCCCTTTTTATATTTTATTTTGAGACAGGGTCTTGCTAAGTTGCTGAGGCTGCCTTTGAACTCACAATCCTTCTGCCTCAGCCTCCGGAGCTTCTGGGATTACAGGTGTGCTCCTCTGTACCCAGCTTATTAAGACCTCTTGATGGCTACTGGAGACATACCCAACTCTGAGCATGGAAAGGCCTAAAATGCTTTTTTGTTACTTCTGGGGTTCTGGTTTGAGGCATGTTCTTGGAGCAGTTTTGACATATTTGAAATGCTATTATCAAATAGGTCTCTAGGTTATATAAATCCAAGGATTTAGAGTGATTGACCCTTCATTAGATTAAGCCAGGTCTCTCAACTATGACATTATTGATATTTTGGACTGGTAATTCTTTGCTGTGAGGAGCTGTCCTATGCATTGTTTGGCAGCATTCCTGTCCTCTCCCAACTGGGTGCAAGTAGAACTCCCCCATCCAGTTGTGGCAACTAAAAATCTCTCTAGGTATTGCCCAATGTCCTCCAGGGGAGCAAAATCACACCTAGTTGAGAACCACTGGATTAAATCTTCATTTGAGCTTGAACAGATTCTAATAGCATTGTCAGCTTTTTCTCCAGGTGGAGGTCTCTCTAGAAAATATTTCTCTTAACCTTTGTACCATTAGTGTTCATTTTGGAATTGTTCCAGTTGTGTTCTACCTCTTGTGTTGCTAGTTTTGGACAGGGTAGGCCCAGAGAACCTTGTTTGGCTACAGTGTGGATTGCTTCTTAATTGAGACATAATTCACATACCATAAAATTTACTCCTTTAATGTGCACGATTTAGTTGTTTTTAGACTATTCACAAAGTCATACAACCATCACCACTGTCTAATTCCAGAATATTTCATCATCCCCAAAGACAACCCTATTCTCCTTAGCAGTAACTTTCTATCCCTCCCTTCTCCCTAGCCATTGGCAGTCATTAATCTGCTTTCTATCTCTGAGTTTGCCTATTCTGGACATTTCACATAAATGGATTCATACCAACATGGCTTTTTGTAACTGATTTCTTTTATTTAGCATTATGTTTTCAAGGTCTATTCCTATTATAACATGAATCCTTAAGTCTTTTTTTTTTTTTTTTGAGAGAGAGAATTTTTTAATATATATTTTTAATTATCGGCGGACACAACATCTTTGTATGTGGTGCTGAGGACCGAACCCAGGCCGCACGCATGCCAGGCGAGTGTGCTACCGCTTGAGCCACATCCCCAGCCCCCTCCTTAAGTCTTTATAACGGAGTAATATCATATATATTATTGGATAATAATACATTTCCATATATAATAATATGGTATTATGATCATACATATAATATGTGTTATATATAATATAGTATACTATTGGATGATAATATGATATTACTATCATATCCTATGGATAAAGGGAATGCCTTATCCATGGTATTACTTTCCATCATTGTACCCAAAGGCATCCATAGTCCAAAAATATTAAATGGAAAATTCCAGAAATCAACAGTTTCCGAGTTTTAAATTGAGAATCCGTCTAAGTGGTGTAATGAAATCTCATACTATTCCTCCTGGGACATGAATCATCCTTTGTTTGGTGTATCCACGCTATATAGGCATCACTTAGTAGCCCATTAGTCACTTAGTAGCCATCCCAGTTTTCAGATCAGTCTTCAGTTTCATAATGCTTGTGTTCAAGTAAGTTTTATTTTACTTAATAATGGCCCCAAGGTACCTGAGTAGTGATGCTGATGATTCAGATATGCCAATAAAAAGCTGTGAAATACTTCCTTAAATGAAAACTTTTATCACATTATGTAGTTAAAATTGTTGGGTTTTATACTGGGAATTGAACACAGTGGGTCTCTACTACTAAGCTACATCCTGAGCCCTTTTTATTTTCAGACAGGGTCTTGCTAAATTGTCCAGGCTGGCCTCAAACTTACAAACTTCCTACCTCAGCCTCCTGAATTACCTTTTCCAGCTTAACTAAGTACTTATTAAGCACTGTGCTATAACTTTTGCTGTTTGAGATGCAGCAGCAAAACTACCAGGGATTTCATTTTACTTCTTCAAGGTTTCCTGATTAGAGAATTCATTTTTACTGTAGATGTTAGTAAACTCAGCATATGATCCCCCCCCCTTTATTAAGTTTAAAACTTTTATCCTTTTATTTATGGAAGCACTTTAAGACTTCTCTTAAACTGGTATCATGACACACTCCTATAATCCTAGCTACTCAGGAAGCTGAGGCAGGAGGATGGCAAATTCAAGGCCAACTCTGGCAATTTAGCAAGTTCCTATCTCAAAAAATGAAAATGACTAGGCATGTAGATCAGTGGTAGAGTGCACACTTAGGTTTAATTGCCAGTTCCAAAAAAAAAAAGACTTCTCAGGCTGGGGTTGTGGCTCAGCTTTAGAATACTTGCCTACCACATGTGAGGTCCTGGGTTCCATCCTCGGCACCACATAAAAATAAATAAATAAAATAGAGGTATTGTGTCGAACTATGACTAAAAAATAAATATTTTTTAAAAAGACTTCTCTTTGACATATTTGAATTACTAGCATCACTAGTCTCACACTTTGAGAGACTAACTTTCTATCTAAGAGACTAACTTTTCTAAGTAAAATAAGGGTTGCTTGAACATAAGCACTTCAATATTATGATATCCAAGATGGCTACTAGGTGATATGTTATACAGTGGGGATGCTGGGCAAAGGGCTGATTCATGTCCCAGGAGGGACAGAGACCTACAGCATAAGATTTCATCACCATCATTTCAGTACCACACTATTCCAAATGGTGTGCAATTAAAAACTTCCAAGCTTATTTCTGGAATTTTCTTTTTAATAACTTCAGATTGTAGGGGCTGAGGATGTAGCTCAAACGGTAGCGTGCTCGCCTTGCATGCGTGCGGCCTGGGTTTGATCCTCAGTACCACATACAAACAAAGATGTTGTGTCCGCCAAGAACTGAAAAATAAATATTAAAAAATTCTCTCTCTCTCTCTCTTTTAAAAAAAAATAGTAATTTCAGATTGTAATTGACCATGGGTGACTGAAACCACAGAAAATGAAACTGGTTAAGAGGGATCTACTGTATAAATTTTTGTGTGAACTTATGTTTTCATATTTGTACAATATATGCCCGGAAATGGGAGGCTGGGTCATAGAGTAACTCTGTGCTTTGATTTTTGAGGAACTGTCAAATTATTTTCCAAGGTTAATGCATTTTTATTCCTTCCAACAGTGTATACATTCTGATTTCTCCATATTCTTGATAACATTTTTTCCTTTTTATTTTTATTTTTTGGTGCTAAAGATTTAACCTAGGAGTGCTTAACCACTGAGCCATATCCCATTCCCTCCTTTTTTAATGTTTTTTTTTTTAATTAGTAATAGGTGGACACAATGTCTTTATTTTACTTTACATGGTGCTGAGGATTGAACCCAGTGTCTCACACATGCTAGGCTAGCACTCTACCTCTAAGCCACAACCCCAGCCCACTCATCCCTTTTTGTTTTTTATTTTGAGACAGGGTCTTATGAAATTGCTTAGGACCTCACTAAATTGCTAAGGCTGGCCTTGAACTTGCAATCCTCTTACCTTAGCCTCCCAAATCCTGGGATTACAAGTTTGCACCACTGTGCCTGGCTAACACTTGTTCTTGTCCTTTTTTTCAACCTAGACAGTCAAGTAGATTTGAAGTGATATCTCATTGTGGTTTTGGTTTGTGTTTCCACAGTGATTAATGATGTTGAACCTCTTCATGTGCTTATTGGTCATTTACATACCTTCTTTGGAAAAGTGTATTCAAATCCTTTGTCCTTACAAACATTATGTTACTTTTTTATATAGCCTGGAGTTGTTTTGTTTGTTTTTGTTTTTCAGTACTGGGATTGAACCTGGGGTGCTCTACCACTTGTCTCCCCAGCCCTTTTTATTTTTTATTTTGAGATTGGGGTATTATTAAGTTATTGAGGCTGGTCTTGAACTTGAGTCATGCTCAAATCAGAATATGCTCAAGTCATAGAGCTACAGCCTTAATAGTCTGTGGTTGTTTATGTGAAACTCAAGCCTTTGTTCAGTGGTATAGTGCTTGCCTAGCATTCACAAGGTCCGGGGTTCAATTCCTAGCACCACAGAAAAAGAAAAAGAAAACACCTCTGCACACCAACAAATGATCTTGGTTGACAGTGTCATGGCTGATGAGTAGATCTGTAGTGCTTTTAGGTGGATGAGTGTTTTGATTTTTTAATATAGCTAATATTATTAGTTGGCATTTTTATTTGGGTTCAATGAATGTCTATTTAATTATTTATTTGTTGTCCTGGGGATTGAACTCAGGGGCGCTTAACTACTGAGCTACATTCCCAGCCCCTTTTTGTATTTTATTTAAATACAGAGTGCCACTGAGTTGCTTAGGGCCTCACTAAGTTGCTATGGCTGGCTTTGAACTTATGATCCTCCTGCCTCAGCCTCCCGTGCTGCTGGGATTACAGATGTGTGCCTCTGTGCTCAGCCTAATGAATGTCTTTTTAAAAGATGCACTTCACTTGAGACATTTGTGTCACCCTAAAGTGTTTCAGGTCTCTTTAACACAAACGAAGTAGTAGGGCATGTGAACAGCCTCTTATCCCCACAGGTGACTTACCTAGGAGTACTGGCAGTAGCTAGGCCTCAGTGGCCACCAAGGTCCCCTTTCTCCTTCTCCCTGTAGAGGCCTGACTAACCACAGCTTTGTCTACAACTTGACCAGAGGTGGCTGGTGCTCTAGGTTTTTTCCGGTTCCTCTGGTTCAGGCTGCCCCCCACAGTGAAGGTTGGCCCAGGAAATCAAGTAGAAAGTGTTGTAACAGTGTGAGCTTACTGTGCCCCAAAGAACAGGGAGAGAAGTTATTGCACTGTTTGCTGTTGAGATGGCTCAGAAGTGGAAGGTTGCTCCCTTCTTGCACAAGCCCTTGACCCTCACCATCTCCCAGCTTTGTGTACCTTCTGGAGGTTCCAGCCTTATCCTCTTAGCAGAGTTGGCTTCCAGGGTAATTTTTTCTTCAGGTTCTTTCTGAGCTGATGGCAGCTATCTAAAGAAATGTGCAGTGAAAGGTGAAGATTGTTTAGTACTGTTGATAGAAGAGGGAGGTCTTTTCCTGTGAGAGACCTCTGGGAGCCTGTCACATATACAGAGTCTGAAGGCTTTTGAAGTTGCTGTTGGGGAACTGAGGAGGGCACAGATTGACAGCCCCTGTGACCTCTTAGAGCCAGGTGATATGACTGCAGAGATTTGTAGATAAGGTTTGGTTCTCAAAACTGTTCATGGAGGTGCAAGCTTCTGGATCATTCTATGTTCTGCCTAATTTTAAGGTCTTCACAGCTGCCAAGGAAAATGTAATTGAGTTACAAGAGATTGTCAGGCATGGTGGTCCATATGTATAATTCCAGTGGCTTGGGAGATTGAGGCAGGAGAATCATGCATTTGAGGACAGGCTCAGCAACTTAGCAAAACTTTTGTCTCAATATAAAAATTTAAAAGTTCTGGGGATATAGCTCAGTGGTAAAGTGCCCTTGGGTTCAATCCCCAGTAACCAAGAAAAAAGATGTTACAAGAGACCGAAGTTGAACCTGAGTTACCCTATAGTCTCTCCTGTCACTCCTAACTGGAACCCCTACCTTTTGCCGGCCCTTTCACATTTGTCTCCTTACCCTACCAGAAAAGTCCCTTAAAGCTGGGCTCTTGTCCACTGAGGATTAGAATGGGAGAGGAGTGATTCTTACATTATGTATAAATTGAATTTTAAGCAGATTAAATAAATAAATCACTTTTTTAAAGATATCTTAAATGGCTGAGAGAAAGACTATTTTTATAATTTTGGGGTGGGGAAAGAGGCCTTATAAGTCCCAGAGGAAAAGTATTATAGGTTAAATGACATAAAAATAAAAAATCTTACTATATCAAAACCACCTGAATAAAAAAGTAAAAGGCGTACACAGGCTGGGAGGAAATGTTTACAGCATATAAATAACTATTCAGGTAGCCATGATGTATAAAAGATAATAAGAAAGAGACAAACAACCAAAGAGAAAAACAGGAAAGGGACACTCTGTCTCCTGCAGTCTGGTGCCTCTTACGTCCTAGAAACATGTGAATTGCATATCCTGGTGGCAGCAATGTTCCCATGAGTTATAAAGGTAATTTTGTAGCCTCCATCTGGATCTGTTTACAAGAAGCCCTATTAGCTGCCATCTGTCAGTTAAAATTCTGACCTGTGGGATGTAAGGGTTTGGGGCTGAGTGATTTGGGAGTCTTTGCCAACCCCACAGTTACCCACTGAAGTGTGAAGTTATTGGTTGTATACAGGGAGAGCCCCAGGGCAAGAGTTTGAGTGTAGCTTTACTAGTTTCAAACAATATAAAATTGAAGAGTCACAGTACCTCCCCTACCTGTTTGTTCATGTATTTAACAGGGCTCAAGATAGAAACTTCCACCCGGCCTACCAGCACACATCTGTAATCCCAGTGGCTTGGGAGGCTGAGGCAGGAGGATCATGAGTTCAAAGCCAGCCCCACAACTTAGTAGACCCTAAAGCAACTCAAATAAAATATTTCAAAAAGGTCTGGGAATGTGACTAACTGGTTAAGCGCCCCCTGGTCTCAATCCCTGGTATCCCCCCAATAAAACTTCCTCTGTAGGTCTTGGGAGGATTCAGTGAACCAGAACCAACAACTACTCAGCATTACCCAGTTGAAATTAGAGCACAACTTGTTAGCTTTAATTTGTCTGAAGGCTTGTCCTTGTCATGCTTCCTTCATCACATCATTCAAAAAGAAAATCTTTCTCACTGCTAACCCTGGGACTAAGTGACACTGTTGTGAGTCTGGAAAGGATGAGTCTAGGAAGAGAACAGTGTCCACTTTTTATCCAGACACATGTAAAACATGGGAGAAAATAGAAATGGTCATTTCCAGGGAGGGTTGGCCCTGGGAGATCCTAGATCACTAGGATGATAGGAAATCCTATTTCTTTTGGAAGAAAGGAATCTTTTTATTATGCCCTCTCTTAAGTACTCCAGACCCAGTTTTGGGAGCTGTTGGCTTCCTGCAGCCACGTTCTGTGGGCCTCTTGGGCCATATTACACCCCACATTGCCCTTGTGAACCTGGACTTTCAGCATTAGTTTGGTTTCCTGGCTTTTGAGCAGCCCTTTTAGGTATCCACTTAGTTTCCCTTCCTAAGCTTGTTTGTTCATTATAGGTTTAATTTGTTCACTTTAGAGACTTGGTACTACAATAGCAGGGAGGGTAGATTGGGGTCATATGCAAATCCCATGGCTGTGGGCAGGTGGAATCTCTAACCACAGGTTTTGTTTTCTTTGCAGGAAATAAATGGCATTACTGCAGCACTGGCTGAAGATCTCTTTGAAAAAGGTATGTGGCCATTGGTCCTTAAAGTGCTTGGTACAACTTACATACTTTTACTAGGTGGCTTGGAGGCCCAGGGTGGCACAAAAATCAATCTGTTGTGTCCTAGCCAGGGCCATTTCTTTGGGGGTGCCTAAATTCTGGCCCTGGCCCACAGCCAAGCTTGCCCACTTACTTGCCCTGCAGGTGAGAAGTGATGCTTCACCTTAGGATTCTCAAGCCCCCGTGGTGGGGTGCTGGAAGGTGGGTTGTAGGCGACCCTCTTTTCCTGATTTGTCTTTGCCAGAGAACATGGTGACAGTAGATAATATGTAAGGAGCATGCCCTGTATCATCCAGCCCTGTGTTTATCATCCTTCTGCCTTCCCCCTAGAGGTTGAGGTGTGAACACCGGTGGTTGGAGGCTTGTGACTTGCTTGAAGTTACATGACTAGAAGGAAGAGCAGAACAAGAACCAAATGCCAGTTAGTCTGGCTCAGTAGCCATCTTGCTTTCAGGCTCTGTGCTGCTGGCATGTTAGGCCTGTACCTAACCCAAACATCTGCCTTTTGTAGATCACAGTGTAGGTCTGTTGCCCAGAACCAATGCCTCTTATCAGCCTTATCCTGGCTCAGTTACTTAGATCTTGACTTAACCTCACTCTGCAGGGTGACTGCCCAGTTGGGTCGTCCCCATGGCTCTTCCCTGTTCACATGTCCAGGGTTGCCCTGTGGCAGTATGAGCTCAGGAGGGCGACTGTTTCTGCATGCTTAGTCCCAACACCGTGGGCACACACACACATGCTTGTGCAGTGCTTGACTATTGTTGGCCTGATGGGCAGACTCCCTGGCTATACTGTGTGCTAGGGTTGCTGCCGGACACTCATCTCTCAGGGCATGGCTGTTGCAGGAGAACAGCTCCTGGGGGCCGGTGAGGTCTTTGCCATCAGGCCCCTGCAGCTCTATGCAGTCACTGAGCAGCTGCAGCAAGGAAAACCCACCTGCGCCAGTGGAGATGCCAAGACTGACCTTGGGCACATTCTGGACTTCACCTGTCGCCTTAAATACCTTAAGGTAAAGCTGCAGCACTTCTCAGTGATGGAAAGCCATTCAGTCATCTGTGGGGCCTGACAGCTAACTGGCATAGTTGTGTGGAGGAATTGTGGATGGGGCCCTTTCCAAAGAAGGCACATTACCTGGTATTCTTGGCACTGTTCTTCTGACTGAGAGCACTAGGGGGCGTCATCACCTAATATCTAGTTTAAACCTCAGCCCTAGCCTGCCTTGCTGAAGGTAGAGGTGGTCAAAGTTTCTGGCTTAGCAGCTGCTAACACAAAAATGTGGCTGGAGATTGGTGGCAACAGCATCCCTAATTTAAGCTACATCTTTTGGCCTCAGGTTTCTGGCACAGAAGGACCTTTTGGAAACAGCAACATTCGGGAACAACTCCTGCCATTTGACTTGTCCATATTCAAGTCTCTTCACCAGGTGGAGGTAAGGCCCAGACCTGTGGCGAGTGTAGGCAGGGCCAAGCCCAGAGTGGGCATTGTCTGGCTCTCATATATCTGTGGCTAGGGAACAGTGTTGGTGTCAGGGTTCCAGATTTAATTGTAAAGTACTGTTGGTTTGGGTTTTGGTTTTGGTATTGGGGATTGAACCACTGAGCCACATTCCCAGACCTTTTTTATATTTTATTTAGAGATAGGGTCTCACTAAGTTGCTTAGGGTCTTACTGAGTTGCTGAGGCTGGCTTTGAATTTGCTGTCCTCCTGCCTCAGCCTCCTGAGCTACTGGGATTACAGACACGTGCCATCATATCCAGGAGTACTGTTGCTTTTGGGTTTGGGATTTTGTTGCAGGAGAGTCAGGTTCGCCTAAAGGCAGACAAAAAGGGGGACTTCTCCTGTCCTTGGCCAGTCTGCATGTTTCCATTCTTAGCATGGACAGCAGCAAGCATTTAGAGGAGTAAAGCACTATGGTCTGCTGCTTCTGAGCCTCTCATGGCGTCAGGGAATATGCATCGTTCAAATAGAAGTCCTGGGAAGTCATCCTGAAGGTCAAACAGAGCCAATTCCAAGTCTTTATTTGCCAAGACAAAGGACTTTGAGGGTTCCCAATTCTTGAGTCACCCACACTAGTGAGAAATGATTTGTACTCCTTGCTACTGGGCTCCTTAGTTCTCAAAACTTAACTTTTATTACTTTTTTTAAAAGAAAATGGAGCCAGGCACCATGGCATACACCTGTAAACCCAATGACTTGGAAGGTTAAGGCAAAAGGCTTGTAAATTCGAGGCCAGCCTAAGCAACTTAGCAAGGCCTTGTCCCAAAATAAAAAAAATGAAGACATGAAGATGGAGCTCAGAAGTAAAGCACCCTTGGGTTCAATCCCCAGTACCAAAATAAGTAGAGAAATATATAAAAATGAAAGAAAATGGAATTAGTAATGAATAGTAAAAGCTGTTTGAAATGTTTTCAAGCATAAGTGTCCTAAACTTGGCTTTTGCATTCAATCTGAGTCCTATGCCTGGTGAATACTCCTTGATTGAATCTTCCCAATAGCCCTGTGAAAGGGGCACTTTCATTTCCAGTTTACAATTGAGGAAACTGAAGTTTAGGAGGATGAGGGATTTTGGCCAGGATCACACAATTAAGAAGAGGAAACTGGAGTTTGAATTTAGCTGAGTCTGGCTTTAGAGCCTGTGCTACCCATTGACCTATTCTGCCTGTAACTATCTAGGTTTGCTTCAGACCTTGAAGGCCATTCCTCTTTAAGGAAACTTAGATATGAACCTCAACCACTGTAGGCTGAGTGAGGCCTGGGGAATAAGGAAAGCCTACCCAGCCCCATTCAGCAACTTGGGGCTCTGCTGGTCTGATTGTGGGTATGAAGCCCTCAGGGGCAGTGTGCTTGGTATTAATTTCTCTCCTCATTACAGAACAGTTAAGGCAGTAGGGTGGGACTGGGTAAAAAGGAGGATTGTGAGGGCCCCTTGTTCCCTAGCACTGGTTTCCATGATCCACCCTTTCTGACCACCTGCTAATCCCCAAACAGCCCTTACAGATAAAATGGAATTTGTGGTTCACTGTGAGTCTTAGACTCTAGACGCCTTTCTTGTAGATACTTCAGAGAATGTTTAGTCAGCTCTAAATAGCATTAGGAAAAAGGAAGGCGTAGATTTTGAGTCACCTCCTGCCTCTTAAGAATTTGGGCTGCCCATTGTTAGGCTTCCTTTGTGTATGCATGATGAACACCCCTTCCTGGGACTTCTGATAGAGCCAGGATTTATTGCTGAGACACAGACTTTTTTGTTGTTGTTGATCCAGATAAGTCACTGTGATGCAAAGCACATCCGAGGGCTGGTTGCCTCAAAGCCCACCTTAGCCACGATGAGTGTCCGCTTCTCGGCAACCTCAATGAAGGTAAGCTTAACCTATTTCCTACCTGGGCACTGTCTACAGGGCAAGGTCTTGGCTGTGGTCCCCACCACTGAAGACAGGTACCAACAAGGCCACATACCAGAACCCAGAGGTTAGACTTTCCCCGGCACCTCCCAGCACTTGATAACCCCTGAGACCCTAGCCTACATCTTCATCAAAGATCAATATTGTTAACAAGGGCTGGGGTTGTGTTGGTGGCAGAGTGCTTACCTTGCACGGATGAGGCACTGGATTTGGTCCTCAGCACCACGTGAAAATAAATAAATAAAATAAAGGTATTGTGTCCATCTACAACTAAAAAAAATATTTTTAAAAAATATTGTTAACAAGACATTTTAAGGAACTTGGTTTTTTCCTCCAAAAAAGAATTTTAAAAGGCCACTGTTTTCTAGTGAACAAACTGTGAAGCTATACAGGTAACAGGACCTTTGTTAGTTAGATTAATATAACTGTTCCTCAAAGCCTAATGAGGCCTTGCTTAGCATTTATTTGTGTCTTGTCCTCCATGGACTTGAAGTAGAAGGTGAGGTTGCAGAAGTGCTGGAACCAATTGAGAATGTAGGAGGTTTCTTTTACCTTTTCATGGCTTGCATCTTAGTAATGTTAAAATCTTTCCCTGAGTATAGAAAAAGCATAAGGTGGCTAATTTTATGACTAAGGGTATCTGATTAAGATTTGGATTTGGTAAAAATTCTTTTTCTTAAGGCTGCTGACTGCAAAGAGGAAACTGGAGAGAATAAGAGCATTGGGCCACCTTGTCCCTCTTCAAGGCATTCCTTGCTGCCTGGATGAAGGAACCTGGGGTGATCCTTACAAGAGGAGAGGTTTTTATAAACCTCAAAAATCAAGCCAAGAGCCAGGCCCAGTAGCACATGCCTGAGATCCCAGTTACTCTAAAGGCTGAGGCAGGAGGATTCCAAGTTTGTGAGGCCAACCTGGGAAACTTAGTGAGATCCTGTCTTAAAAAACATCTCAGTAGTGGAGCACGTTCCTAGCATGCATAAGAGCCTGAGTTCTCAGGTACCATGGTAAAAATATTTTTAAAAGGTCAAACCAAGGAGGTCTGCCTCTCTCCCCTGGTGGTCCCAATGCTCTCTGCTGCTACTCTTGACTTAGCACTGATTTTGTCCCTGTGAAGTAATGGTTAAAAAGACCTGCTCGCCACAGTGAAGACCACTCTGAAAGCACAGTTGCCTAGCAACACTGTGAGTTTGGACCTTCAGCCTCTGAGAGTTAGCCAGAAAAGGCATCACTGAGTGGAAGAGGCCCCTGGGGGCTTGAGCAACCTTTGCTCCCGCGGCAGAGGAACATATTTCAATCTGCCGTTAGTTGCTAAACCTTTCAGTTATTTCACAATCGCTTAAAGACACATGCATCAAAGCCCTGTTTAAATGCAAGCTCACTTCCACATGCTAAATATGCTCCAGTCCTTCCTTTAATTTTGCAGCGATAGTGTTCTAGTTAGTGTTGCGTGAGGGCCTGAGCATAGTGCTTAACAGATGTTCTTATTCAGGAAGTCCTCGTGCCCGAAGCCTCAGAATTTGATGAGTGGGAGCCAGAAGGCACAACACTTGAAGGCCCTGTGACTGCTGTCATCCCCACATGGCAGGCGTTGACCACTCTCGACCTGAGCCACAACAGCATCTCTGAGATCGACGAGTCTGTGGTATGCTTGCAGCAGCCAGTGTCATGGGCCTCTCTGGCCTAACCAAAGCCTCAGGTTTGGTTGACTTTTCTGGAAAGACCACAGAAAACCTGTAACCAGGTCCCTAAGCCTTCCCCATAATTTTTATGTTAAATTTCAAAATAAGAATCTTTATAATTGGTAAGGTAATACTTAGAACCAAACAAAGCATATTAATTGCATGTACGTTTGTTATTTCTAGAACCACAGTAAGTGATGACACACTTCTGAGTAGGCACAAAAATCACTCCCTGTGTTACAGATGTGCCCATGTAAAGATGACATCCAGATGGTGTTAGGGCAATGGGCATATGATTCTGTCTACACTTCTCAGTGGGGAGGAGAGCGGGGTTAGAAGAAATGTAGGCTCCTTCCTCTGTCTGGGACATTACAATTTGTCATTTTTCTAAACCAAATGTTCTGTAAAGCATTGGCTATTGTTCAGCTCTGGAGTCCCTGTATGCCTTGAATGTGCTAATGTGTGTGCAACAAGAGGTGTCACATTGTTGGCCCTGCAGGGACAGCCTGCTGGAAGTCTGTGGTCAGAAGAGCCCCAGGTTGCCCAGCCACCATGTGCAGGGTCTGTAGGATCCAGCCTCCTCCTAGAATAACATTGGTTCTTCTTTTGTTTCGTAAGAAACTGATCCCAAAGATTGAGTTCTTGGACCTGAGTCACAATGGAGTGCTGGTCGTGGACAACCTGCAGGTAATGTCTGTGGAGATAATTGCTGCCTATACAGCTTCCCCCAAGGTCCTGACCTCCTGGGAGGTCAGGGGGTGGGGATTGCCACCTTCCCTTGAAGGATCCTATGATAATGCTGGAGTGATTGTTGTCCTTGTTCCAAAGAATTATAAATGATGAATAAATACAAGTGTGATAGAGATGGTGAACCTCCATCCTGAAGACATGCAGGCTTATTTTCAGTTCTCATCCCTAACCTCCCTGCTAGGGCTGTTTCTGGGCTGTGGCACATGTGTAGGAGAAAAGAGGCTTCCCTTCCTAAAAATTGTCAGAGCAGACAGATGGAACTGCCTTGTATAACTAGTTCTGATGGAAGGGCATCTATCTGTCATGTCTCTGTGGAGGCCTAAACTCAGCCACTGCCCTGTTCTCAATGCTGCTGCAGCACCTGTACAACCTCGTGCACCTTGACCTGTCCTACAACAAGCTGTCCTCCTTGGAAGGCGTCCACACCAAGCTGGGGAATATCAAGACCCTGAACCTGGCAGGCAACCTCCTAGAGAGTCTGAGTGGCCTGCACAAGCTGTACTCCCTGGTCAACCTGGACCTCAGTGACAACAGGATTGAGCAGGTGAGCCACATCCCAAGGAGCTCTCTCTGGGCTCTGGGATTGCCAGGCTTTGGTGTTGATCACTTAAAGAAAATCATTAAAATTCCTTTCATTTAAAAGAGGCCATCCAATGTGTTGTCCTGTTGCTGAAGTGTTAGAAGGGACCAAAGGGAATGGCCAAAGGGAAATGCACTCATGCCTTGCAGATGGAAGAGATCAGGAGCATAGGCAGCCTCCCATGTCTGGAGCATGTGGCCCTGCTGAATAATCCTCTGAGCATCATCCCTGACTACCGGACCAAGGTGCTTGCTCAGTTCGGAGAGCGGGCTTCTGAGGTAAGCCCCACCACCACCACCCTCCTGTGCCACCAGTGGATCCCAAAGAGATAGGATGGAGTCCAGGTTCACATGGGCAGACTGAGGCAGGATTGTCCATTGTTCTGCCCTCACTTGCTTCAGAAGCTCACCTGAGAGCCTCTCATTTGGGAAATCTGCTGCACCCCTCTCCCATGGGGCATGTCAGGGAGCTTCTTGCCACATCTGTCTAGAGCTTCAGGCCAGGAGGGCTCACCTGGAGAACACATAGGCTCAGACTCAAAGTATGGAGAAACTGTTTTCAGCTTTTTAAAAAAAAATATGTATATCATTGCTAGCTGGGTATGGAGGCACATTCCTGTAATCCCAGCAGTTCAAGAGGCTGAGGCAGAATGATCACAAGTTAAAGCAGTTTAGTGAAGCCTTAAGCAACTTAGCAAGACCCTGTCTCTAAATAAAACGTGAAAAAGAGTTGGGGATGTGGCTTAGTGGTTAAGAGCCCCCTGGATTCAATCCCTAGTACCAAAATAATAATAATAATAATAATAATTTGTTAATTCTAGACAAGGAATAGAAAAAAGATACTTAAAATAATCATGTTTCCTGGAAAACTTCTGGCCACGCTGCCTGACTGTTAAGTCCAAGGGTTTGTCCATTTTTGCTAGTGTAGCCCAACCCAATGCCTGCTGCCTGCTGGCTCTGGTTCTCCAACTACTACCACCACCACCACCATGCTGACCAAATAGGTCCTTCATCAGGCTCATTCCTCTCCCTCAGCCTCAAGCAACCCTGCCCCCATTCTCTCACCAGTCCTTGGAACCTGTCTTCCCCAAACCCCAAGTCAGAAAGTACTTGGGAGGCTATTTACATCCCATTCTGCCCCTTTTCTGCCCCAAGTGCTGCCTTTCCACACTATCCCCAAGATAGTCTTCACAAGATGCCATCTCCTCCCCAGAGGAGTCCAGAGTCCAGACCTGGAGTCATAGTGTCTGCTCCTGTCCAGGTCCTTGGGACCTTCCCTCATTTGGCCACACTGCATGCCTGCACGCTCGCTCGTTCCTTCTGCTCTCATGCCTTTAGCCTCCCCATTCCCCTAACCAGAAGGTGCTCCCCTTGCTCTTTGACAAGCTCAGCTCCATCTGTAAATGAGGGCTTAGTGCATGTTACCTCCTTGCCCCCAGTACCAGCCACCCAAGAGGCTACTGCCTCTCCCTGGAGAGGGACACCCAGAGACAGATGAGGCAGTGTGGGACTCCATAGGCCCCTCCAAATTGCTCCCATGACATTTCTGTGGGTGGTGAAGAGCCCACTTCCCATAAGGCTGAGCCTCCCTCAGCCTCCAGTGTCCTCATAGGGCCTGGCCTACAATGGATGCTCATGCCTGCTCCCAAGCAGGGGCTTACCATTGTCTTCCAACCACACATGCCTATCCGCATGCTGAGAAATACTTTGTGGACTCTAGGTCTGTCTGGATGACACGGCAACCACAGAGAAAGAGCTGGACACTGTGGAAGTACTAAAAGCAATTCAGAAAGCCAAGGATGTCAAGTCCAAACTGAATAACCCAGAGAAGAAGGTGGGCATTTATATGGAAGGTGGAGGGGTAGTGGTGAAGAACCAATCAAGGAGGAGCTGATTTCTGGGATCACTCAGGGCCACCAAGTCCTGGCTGCACTGCTCCCAGGCTGCATGACTTCGGGAAGGCCACACCCTCTAGGTCCTTATGTGTGAGACAGGATGGTGATGGTGCCTGCCCCTCAAGTTACTGTGAGGCTACTTTCATCACCTTATTGTGAGAACCATTGAGCTCCTCCTTCCTCGACTCTGACCTTGTCAGTCTGTTCTTCCTGTGCTTTATCATCTCTCCCCGGCTGACTCAAGTGCTTCTCCCCAGGTTGGTGAGGATTCTCGGCTCTTAGCTGCCCCCTGCGTTGGACCCAGTGGCTCTCCTCCCACCACGGCTCCCACCTCTGCCTCCCTGCCCCAGCCCATCCTCTCCAACCAAGGTAATCACATATGGATCTTACTCCTAGCAGAGCTGCACAGCCCCTGCCTGGGCCCCCTGGCTGGGCTGGGGTTGGGGGAGAGATGCTGGCACCTGCTTCCTTCAGGATTGGGCACAGGGAGGGTGGTGCCGTCCGCAGGCTGGCTCCTCAGGTGGCACGCAGCAGGTGCGCCCGGCCTGATTTCAGTTCTGTCGTTTGCTTAGTGAGGATCCCTGATGCTCTAACACCTGCTTCCAGTTCCTCTAGGAGACCACAGGGTGTCTAATAGAGCAGACTCGGGGCTATTGGCTCACGAGGACTCGTTCCCCTTGGCAGCTGAGCAGGTCAGCTGCTCATTATGGGAAGCCAAGCCTTGTTACGTTACTGAGTCTGGAGCCCTGATCCCCATTTGGGGAACTTCCTTTTATCCTTACCTCATGTCTGAGGCTCTCAGGGCGTGGCTCAGCCCCAAAACACTGCTTTTGTGGGATCAAGATGGGCTGTCTGTGTCCCTGTGGACCCATGGAAGACCCATCCCTTTCATCTGCCCACTGTCTTAGCGTTTTCAAAGGGCTTTCACCTCTGAACCCAGGCATCCTCGGAGATGAGTGAGTGAAGCAGGTCCCATGAGCGTGTCTGCTGGCCCGGCCCCAACAGAAGAGGGGCGGGTGTGCCGTCCCAAGTGGAGCTGAGGCTTGGGACACGCAGGAAAGAACGCCGCCCACCCGGGCTCCTGGAGACGCAGAACTTGGTGTGAGGCCTTGGGAAACCAGTTTGACCCTATTTCAAGAGCCAGAAACACATTCCCACCCCTTGACCTGGCAACCCCGCTGGAGGGGATCTTCTCTTAGAGAGGGATCAGATGCTGGGGAGGGGTGTGAAGTGCTCCCTGCTGGCAACACATGGGCTGTGACATGCACACCAAAGAGGGGAGGGGAGAGGCATCTGTGGCACAGAACCCTCTGCAGCAGTCCCATCAGGGAGAGAAGACTGGCAGCAAGAAGGGAGACACTTACTAACATTAAGGCAAAAGCCCGACGCAGAGCAGCACACTGAGGTTACCATCATGCCGTGTGGAAGAGAATTGATAAAAATGGAGCGGTGGGGCTAGGTGCCAGAGCATTTGCCTGTTTGCTTTGGTCAATCTCTTGACAAATTTTTTGGTTGTATTTTTTTATGTAAAAAGAAAAGAGGGTATGGATCCCTGTGAGGAAGCTTCCCTATCACTGCCATCTGCATGGAAGTCAAGCCCCTCTTTGGGGTCCCACAGCACTGTCGACCCTATAGAGGAAGCGCATAACTGTAGGCTTCTCAGGGACAGGGAGATGCGTCTGGTCCCAAGGCCAAGGACATGGCTGGCCAGTCTTAGTCAGCAACTGTTGAATCAGTGAATCAATAAGCGATTATGGAGAACAGCAAGTGGAGAATAAGCTGGTAAAGAGCAGGCCCCGGGCGGGCAGTGGGGAGGGGTGTCTCCCCCAAGGCTGCAACTACAGGCAGGGCCCCATTCCCACCCTGCAGTGATGAGCCTCTGCAGCAGCCTAGGTCCAGCCTTATTTCCCTCTTTCTCTCACCCTGGGGCACTCTGCAGAGTGGCTTCTGTAGTCTGTCCCCACTTCCCAGTCACTGGACGTTGAGACATTGTCTCAGATTGCACCTCTCATAAATAAAACTGCAGTGGATGTCTTTGTGTGCACATCTCTTTCCTTTGGGTGAGAAATGACAAGGTCAAACCCCTGCCTGAGGTCTCTCCTGATGTCCCCTATCCCATCTGCTGAGTGGCCCTTTCTCACCACTTATTTGTACAGGCCACAGTCCAGGAAGGAAGTGGACAGACTGTCCCTGTCCACGTTTCCTCATGTCCAAACAGGGATTGGGGAGTTAGTGGCAAGAAAATGTTGCTTTTTTCCTCACAAATGTAGAGGCATCCACATTCGTGTGTGTTCAGCCATGTGTTACTGGAGCTAGCCCGGATGGGCAGGGATTTCTCCTATGTGAGAGCAGCTTTGCTAAGTGGCACCTAATGCTCCCAGCCTGTCCTGTAGTGGGAGCATACTTGCAAATTAACTGGGCATTCCCAGGCCAGTGTGAACGGGGCACTGTCCAGAAAACACAGGCCTCTGGTTATTGCAGGAGCTATAGATGGCTGTTGGAGCCACAGAGGATTGTGACTGATAAGGGCCGATGTGCAAAATGTCGGAGCTGATTCTCCAGCCAGGTCCAGGGCTGAGAGAAGCTGTATAGAGAGGTGGTTAGGAGCAGGCAGCTGAGTTCAGGCTCCAACTTCCTGGCTGTGTGATCTCAAGCTACCTGTGTAGCCTCTCTGAAGCTGTTTTCTCAACCATAAACTGGATACACCTTACTTCATCGATTCTAAGATGCACACGTTTCCACCCTGCGACTTCTCTGAAATTGAGATGCGTCTTTCAGTCAGTGGCGTCCCCTAGTTGCTGTCAGCCAGCTGGTGTTCGTGATGGAGTCATGGGAAAACCTTCCGTGGACACCTGCTAAGACCAAGATGGCACCGTTTCCACGCATCTTAGATTTGATGAAATGTGGTAAATAATGAGAGGCACGCATGAGCTGATGCTGGGGAAACGCTTAGCACTGCTTTTGGCTCAACAAAAGTGGTCAGTAAACACTCTCCCCTTTCTACATCCTTAGTTGGGGATTTAGGCCACCGCCCTTGAGGAACAAGGAGCCACTTGGGGAGATGAACTCTATGCCCAGGGTAGAATGGTTCAGGGACATTTGTAGGTTTGAGCAGAGGTAGCATCTGAGGTGACTCGAAGGATGAATAGGATTTGAATGGGTCAGCAGGAGAGGGTGGACTCTAGGGGAGGGTGACAGCATAGGCAAAGCCCAGGGGAGATCCTGGGGAGGGGGTTGCTTCATGCATGGCTGTGTGCTTGCTATCCTCCTGCCTTGCAGAGCCCCTGCTGCTTCACTTTATGAGGGTGTCTGGGCTTGGGTTGTCTTCCTGCCCAGCCCTGGGACAAAGGACCTGGGCCATGTGAGTTGCCCTGTCGGACAGCAGCCAAGCCAGACAGATCTCATGCCCTGTGGGGCTCAGAATCATTTCCTTGGGCTGTGGTGACTAGTGGCAAAGCTGGAGTGTGGAGGCAAGCCCAGGTTCCTCTAGACTCTAGCTATAGTTCAGAACATGTTGAAACACCAGTCTGCAAACTGGAAGTAATGGGTCCAAATATTCCTAAAACAGCCTCAGTAGGATTTGAAAACCCCATGCCTTACCAGGGTGTATGAGGTCATGCTGCTGTCCCTGGGAGGTGGCCCTGGGGTATTCAGTGGGGCCTGTGGGTGCAGGCTCAAAATTGTTCTCAGCAGCCCAGGGGGAATCTGGAGCCTCCCAGTGAGGCATCCTGTGCTTTGAGGATTTGCTAGCCTGCAGATGTCAGATCAGGAGCTGGGGTCGTGGCTAGTCATTTCCTGGGATGGTGCTTTAGGAGTGAACACATTTAAGGCTCTTGATGGACGTAGTACCAAACTGCTCTCCTGACGGAGGGGTCAGCTCCAACTCCAGTGCCTGTCTGTACCCAGTTAGGCCAGGGCCAGGCTGTACAGTGAGTCTGACCTTTGCCAAAGATACAAACCGGTCTGCTTCAACTTGCCTTTCTTTGTGTGCCAGAGAGGATAAGCATCTTTTTTTCACATGTTATATCTGTTGTCAATTCTATGGAATGTCACTCTGTGTTCTTTGTAGTCTCTTAATGGGATTTCTACTCTCTACCACTTTTGTAATCTGTAAGAACTCTTATAGATTAAAGATATCAAGCTTTGTTATATATTGCAAGTACTTTTTCTCTTTGCATTTGATTTTGTTTTCTTGGTTTTTAAGATTCATCCACAGAGGTTTGATTTTTTTTTTTTTTTAATGTAGTCTCAGTTTCTTCCTCTGCATGTGTGCTCAGAAAACTTCTCCCTGCCTGAGATTAGAGAAGCAGTCATTGGTTCTTTCTTGAGCTGTTTGAGGATTTTAGCTTTGCCATTTTCTTCTATTACCCATACGATGGTTTAGGGGTCTGGCTAGCCCCCGGCTATGCTGGTAGCCCAAGGCCCAGCCCCTTTGTTGAACAGCTGCTCTCCCTGCCCACCCGTCCGCCCACCCCATCTCTGCAGGGATCATGTTCGTGCAGGAGGAGGCCCTGGCCAGCAGCCTCTCATCTACTGACAGTCTGACTCCCGAGGACCGGCCCATTGCTGGGGGCTGCTCTGATTCCTTGGAGTCCATCCCTGCAGGACAGGTAATGCCCTCTGCCTACTCCTGAAGACTGTTCCGTCTGCAAGCCAACTCTGTTGCTTGAGGTAGGCCAGTTGGCAGTGGCCTGGCTGGAGCACAGCCCATGCTGCCAAGCTTCATGCTCTGTGCCTGGCCCTGTACAGTCTTTCTCTTGGACATGTCTCTAGTTGAGTCCTCTTAATTAACACAATGATTAAGCCTGTGTTCAACTTCTCCCTCCCCTCCTCTCCATCCTACGTGTGTGTGTGTGTGTGTGTGTGTGTGTGTGTGTGTGTGATGCCCCTCCCTACCGTCTCTCTGGGAACAGGGAGTGCTCTGTCATTGGGCCAAGGGGCGGGGGTGAGCCCTGAGCCTGCATGCAGACTGCCTTGAAGAAGACAGTGTAGAGGCAGAACTTCTCCCCAGCTACCTAGTACCCTGGGGCCATTCTGCCCCTTCTCAACATTGTCATTCTGGTAGTCTGAGACAGTGTGACTGTAGTGTCTCCTCTGGCTACCGGTCAAGCTTTGGAGGCCCATCCCTGTATCCCAAGAAAAGAAAGGAGGCAAGTAAGAGGGGCTTACACTGCTGTGTCTTGGTGCCTGGGCCTTTCTCCAGCCCCATCTCTCTGCACAGCACAGGGTAATGGCCCTACAATGCTAGGATGGTTTGCAGAGTCTTTGTCTAGCCCCAGAACTCCCTGCTCAGGGTCACACAGCAGTAGGTTCCAAAGCCCTAGATCTTGAACACTATGCAGAAAGTTTTGGGAGCCCTTTCTAGGACCCGCCTCAGCCCTACTCATGGTGTGCATTGCTGGTCACAGACTGGATTGGTAGACTGTGCAACTGGGTTCTTAGGTGACATGAGGAGCCCTTGGATATCAGAACCCCTGAGAGTGTGACTCAGGCTATGGCCCTGGGCTGGGAATGTGGGCTGGGTTCAGACCGACAGGGGTAGGAATCCCAACCCTGCCATGTACTGGCATGATTACCTAGTGAATGTGGGTGGATTGGGGATGGTGAGGTGCAAAGACAGCAGAGTGTCCATCTCAGTGTCCAGCGCCCAGGACATGTCAGGGAATAGCTGAAGCTGGGGGATGATTGTATTTCCTTCTCTATTAGGCAGCTCCGGATGACCCAAGGGACGTGCCAGGAGCTGTTGGTGGTGCAAGGTAAGGAAGAAGTCAAGAAGGCATCTGGGCTTGTCTATGCCCTTCTGCCCACTCTCAGCTGTAGGTCAGAGGTCACCAGTTAGATTCTGTTACCAATCTGTTCACAGAAGTCCTACAGAACTATTTATTTCTTTAAATAAACAGGTGAGATGGACTTGGGTCTATTTTCCCTAAACTTCACCTGATTCACATTATCCTGTACCAGGTGGTGGCACATCAAGGCCAGTTCAGTGAATGGCCTTTTTTGTATAGTCCAGGAACTAAGAATGATAATTATCTTCTTTTTTTTGGGGGGGGGGGGTACCAGGGATTGAACCCAAGGAGTGCATTACTACTGAGCTACATTCCCATTCGTTTTTATATTTAGAGACAGGGTTGCTGAGACTGGCTTTGAACTTGTGATCCTCCTTCCTCAGCCTCCCGAGCCGCGGGGATTATGGGCACCCACCACTTTCCCTGGCTGTTAGTTACATTCTTAAAGAGCTGTTTAAACAAGAAGATGAGTTGGTAGGGGTAGCCTACAAAACCTAAAACATTAACTCTCTGACTCTTCATAGTAGAATGCCAATTCTAGTTATACATGCAAGGTCTGAATGATCTGGCAGAGCTAGCATTTAAACTGCCCTAAGACTGCCTCAACCCACCTTCCCACCTCTGGAGGCCACTGGGCCTCACTGAAGGGAGCTAGTTATCAACAAGTGAAGTACTCATTGCCTCAGGGCTCACAGAAGCAAGCCTTGGAATGACTGAGAAATCTGTGTAGCACTTCTCTTGTGGGAACCAGTGTGGTCTGAACAAAGCTGTCCTGGATGGTGTGGTCTGAGTGTTTGGAAGCCTGTACTCATCAGCTGTGTCCCCAGCCTTGCAGCTTTAGCACCTCAGCTCCTCCCCCATGCCCTTGTTCTAGGAACAGCTCAGATATGTAGAAGACCCAGGAGACCCATGGGTGGGTTCCCCAGGGCCAAGGGTACGCAACAGGCTCTGAGATGGGGGGGGTATCCCAGACCCTCATGTCACTGATCCAGCCTCTCTCCACACAGCCCAGAGCACGCAGAGCCAGAGGTGCAGGTGGTGCCTGGGTCTGGCCAGATCATCTTCTTGCCCTTCACTTGCATCGGCTACACGGCCACAAACCAGGACTTCATCCAGCGCCTGAGCACGCTGATCCGCCAGGCCATCGAGCGGCAGCTGCCTGCCTGGATTGAGGCTGCCAATCAGCGTGAGGAGGCCCAGGGCAATCAGGGGGATGAGGACGAGGATGAGGATGAGGAAGATGTTGCCGAGAACCGCTACTTTGAAATGGGACCCCCAGACGCAGAGGAAGAGGAGGAGGGAGGCCAGGCGGAAGAGGAGGAGGAGGAGGAGGAAGATGAAGAAGATGAGGAAGCTGAGGAGGAGCGCCTGGCCCTGGAGTGGGCCCTGGGCGCAGATGAGGACTTCCTACTGGAGCACATCCGCATCCTCAAGGTGCTGTGGTGCTTCCTGATCCACGTGCAGGGTAGCATCCGCCAGTTCGCCGCCTGCCTCGTGCTCACTGACTTTGGCATCGCCGTCTTTGAGATCCCACACCAGGAGTCGCGGGGCAGTAGCCAGCACATCCTTTCATCCCTGCGCTTCGTCTTCTGCTTTCCACATGGAGACCTCACCGAGTTCGGCTTCCTCATGCCAGAGCTGTGTCTGGTGCTCAAGGTGCGGCACAGCGAGAACACGCTCTTCATCATCTCGGATGCCGTGAACCTACATGAGTTCCACGCTGACCTGCGTTCCTGCTTCGCCCCACAGCACATGGCCATGCTGTGCAGCCCTGTCCTCTATGGCAGCCACACTAGCCTGCAGGAGTTCCTGCGCCAGCTACTCACCTTCTACAAGGTGGCTGGTGGCTGCCAGGAGCGCAGTCAGGGCTGCTTCCCCGTCTACCTGGTCTACAGTGACAAGCGCATGGTACAGACGGCCGCAGGGGACTACTCCGGCAACATCGAGTGGGCCAGCTGCACACTCTGCTCAGCTGTTCGCCGCTCTTGCTGTGCACCCTCCGAGGCTGTCAAATCTGCTGCCATTCCTTATTGGCTGCTACTCACACCCCAGCACCTCAACGTCATCAAAGCTGACTTCAATCCCATGCCCAACCGTGGCACCCACAATTGCCGCAACCGCAACAGCTTCAAGCTCAGCCGCGTGCCGCTCTCCACAGTGCTGCTGGACCCCACCCGCAGCTGCACCCAGCCACGGGGCGCCTTTGCCGACGGCCATGTGCTTGAGCTACTTGTTGGCTACCGCTTTGTCACTGCCATCTTTGTGCTACCCCATGAGAAATTCCACTTCTTGCGTATCTACAACCAGCTGCGGGCCTCCCTGCAGGACCTGAAAACTGTGGTCATCGCCAAGACTCCTGCAACTGGGGCCAGGTCTCAGGGCCCCCTTGTGGATGGCCAGCCTGCTGAGGGTAGGGCCAGGTAAGACCACGGGGCCCAAGGGCATGGGACTGGCATGTATGATCTCTGGGCATCTGCGTTTTGTGAGCAGGCCATTGTCCTGCCCCTTGGCTTCTCCCCAGCTCCTGGCCACCCTAGCCTTAACCTTAACTCCCTCTGGCTTGGCACCTGACTCCTCCTTATCTTCAGAGCTTTAGAAGATGCTTAGGAAAGCTGTCTGTTTGTGAAAATGTGTGGATCCAGGCACCTGCCACCCTTGTAGGGGAGGTTGAGGGAGCTGCCCCCCACCTTACTTGCCCAGTGGGAGTTGTCACTTTGACCTGGCCCTGTCCACTCTGTTCCCATGAGCCAAAGCATGGCCTCTAGGCATGACTTGCTTCCCCACCCCTAGGGATCACATCTCTGTGGCTGACTCTGGATCTGGGACTGCTTCAGGCCCCTCCCATCCCTGAACTAGCTCCTAGGCTCTCCCTGTTGGTGACCAAAAAGCCCCTCTTGGGAAGGACTGGGTTGCCTGCCCTCCGAAAAGAATCTCAGGTGCAAAAGTAACAGGTCAAGTATCAGAGCTGGCTATGTCATCTCTGTCAAGGCCCCATTGAAAACCAAAGTACTGACTGGGAAGTCTGAGGTTGGCAGTCTGTCCTTCTATCCTTGCTCTCCTCCCCCTTCCCCTGCTCCTGTCCCACAGAGCAATGGGGATTTTGCGCCTCATGTTGCTGGCTTTCCTGGGCTTCCCCTACCTGGGGAAGAAAGCCCTTCATTTGATGGCCCTCCTGTCCCCTAACCTCCCTTTTCTTTCCTCCTGATAGCAGAGACCCACTTCTGCATGGGATTTCCCTTCTCTCTCCAACCCAAACCCCAGATGACACTCCTAAAGGGATTTCCACCTCTTCCAGACTGGATCTGGTGTTCCTATCTGCCAGCTGAAGACAGCATCCTGTGCTATATGGCCATCTTCTCCTTTCCCCTCCCCTGGGTATAGCTTCAATGGTGGACACCATGTCTTTACTTCCCTGTCATCCCCAAGCCTGCTGGCACTGGCCCATAGGGGACCACATGCAGAAACCATACCCTTTAGCAGATGCATCTTTGCTCCAGGACAGCAGGAGGACAGCCCCAAGGCTTCCTGGGGTATTTCCTGGCTAAATGCAGGATCATAGCCCCAAGGGTCTCAGCAGTTGGACTGGGTCAAGTGGAGAGGATAACCTCTAAAACATTTTCCTTCCAAAGGGGTGTGACTTCCCAGCCTCTGTGAGCTCTAAGGTTCTGTGCATTATTTGGTCCTGTGTCTGGACCAGACCAGTTGACAGCCCGGCATGGCCAAGTGCAATGGTGGCTGGGTGGGCTAAGAGCATGGACCACCAAAGCACACCCCAAAGGCAAACTGAGGAGCAGTTTGAGCCTTTGGTTCTCACTTCTAAATGCACCCACTCAACCCAGGTCCCAGCCCTGGGCAGGCACTCTGGACCCTAGAGTGGCATTTCTGAAACCTTTGATACTTTCTCAAAGTGGGATTTCACCTGGGGTGACTTGTTCTGCTCCCATCTGCCACTCAAAAGAAAGGGCCTGGGTATTTTCCCTCTGTTGTTTTGTCCTCCCATAAGGAATCTGGTAATAAAATCTCCTAAGTGACCCCAGTGGTGATATATGGTATACAAGTGGCCCTCACACATTTGAAGTTGTGCATAGATGTGGTTCCACATATTAATATGACATTTCTTGGGGGGGATTGGGAGATGCAGTGATGACCAGCATCCCCAGGAGGGACCAGCAGAGGCTCTGGCTCCAGCCCCAGCCCCAGCTCCAGTGGAGGTCCCAGCTCCAGTCCCAGCAGCAGCTTCAGCTCCAGGCCTACCAGAGGCTCCAGCAGAGGCTCCAGCTCCAGCTCCAGCCCCAGCTCCGGCCCCAGCTCCAGCCCCAGTCCCAGCCCCAGTGGAATCTCCTCCAACTCTGCCTCCAGCTCCAGCTCCGGCTCCAGCTCCAGCTCCAGCTCCAGCAGAGGCCTCAGCTCTATCTTTGGTGCCAGAAAAGGGCCCAGTAGAGACCCCGGCTCCAGCTCCAGCCCCAGCAGAGGCCCTGGCACAAGCTGAGGTCCCTGCCCAGTATCCAACCGAGCACCTGATCCAATCCACTTCAGAGGAGAATCAGATTCCCTCGCACTTGCCTGTCTGCCCGTCACTCCGGCACATTGCCAGCTTACAGGGGAGCGCCATCATTGAGCTCTTCCACAGCAGCATCGCTGAGGTAGTGGCCCATGCACGGGTCCTCCAGCTAACAATTGTGCAGAGAGGTGTGGGCTCCACTGTGGTATCAGTCAGTCCTAAGGGTGAGGCAGGGGTCGCCTTTGGCCCTCAGATTTCTCTGGTATCATGTAGTCCTCGGCTTCAGCTACTCACAGGTTCCAGGGGTCAGGAGGTCCCGAGCTACCTTCCTCTGGCTAACTGCCCTTTGTGCTACCTCCCCTCAGCAGTCCCTGGCCCAGCAAACCCACTTCCCATCTTGTACTCCCGACTCCTCTGCTCTGAGTTATAGACACATTGATGAGATAAGCTTCCTGCCTTTTTCTGTCTAAAGCCATGGGCACGTCCCCGGGGTATGCAGGCCACCTCGGTAGTAGGGATGACAAAAATAGCAGTGGGGTGTCCTGCCAGGGATCTGTGGTCTTGGAGGTAGAAAGGTGCATGCTCCCACCCCACCCCGCTCTCCTCCAGACCCACACCGCTCTGTGTCCAGGTTGAAAACGAGGAGCTGAGACACCTCCTGTGGTCATCAGTGGTGTTCTACCAGACCCCAGGGCTGGAAGTGACTGCCTGTGTGCTGCTGTCCACCAAGGCTGTGTACTTCGTGCTACATGATGGCCTCCGTCGTTACTTCTCAGAGCCACTGCAAGGTAGGTACCCAGACCTGCTGGTTGTCAGGAGTTCGAAGCATATTTTCGGAGCAGGCTGAGAGGCCAGCTGTGTGGCCTTAGGCAGCAGCACCTTGACTGATCTGGGCTTAGTTTCTCATTTGAGGAAGCAATGACAGCAGCACTTTCCTCCTAAGCCATCACGAGGACCTAAGACCAGATGTGGATATGCCATGCCAGGGCCCAGAAAGTGCTTGGGAACTGGCTGAGAGAGGCAGGAAGTGGGGATTGGGCAGCCTCTGCCCCTTGGGACCTCAGTGGGAACTTTGGCCAGCGAGCCAGCAAGGTGAGGCTCAGACCCCAGACCTAGCTGTAAATGAGGATTTGCATGCCAGAGGTGGTGTAGACCCTTGCCAGGCAATCCATTCCTGCTGGACGTGCTGCCCGTGTGCCCCCTGTACTTGCTGCCACAGCCACCAACCCCCTCCATACCTTCCTCTCCATAGATTTCTGGCATCAGAAAAACACTGACTACAACAACAGCCCCTTCCACATCTCCCAGTGCTTTGTGCTTAAACTCAGTGACCTGCAGTCAGTCAACGTTGGCCTTTTTGACCAGTACTTCCGTCTGACCGGTAAGCGACCCACTGTGCTTTTGTCCCATTTTAGATGAAGGATAGTGTCACCATTGGGCTTCCACCTTCCGTCTGTGGGTGCATTATCGTAGACAGCGTTATCTCTCTGCTTACAAGCCAGCTAACCAGGCGGGAGGAAGCAGCTCCAGGAACTGCTGAGATTGCAGGACTCATGCCCCAGGGAGGTGGGAGGTGGGAGGTGGGGTGTGCAGCGAGTGCCAGCCCGGACACAAGCAGAGCGGGCCCTGGGCTCAGGCAGGATGTGTCTGACTCATACTTCCTGAAGAGAGAAAACTAAGCTCTTTCCCTCATGCCTCTCTGTATCCCCTTCCAGAAAAATGTTTCAGCCCTTCCTGCCTGATAAATGGCTGCCTCCCCAGGTCCCATGATGCTTTCCTTAGGTTCCCCACAGCCTTGGCTTTCTGGGACAGAGACCTGGCAGGTGAAGTGGCTTGTGGCCCTGACCAGCCCCATCTTGTGTAGGCTCCTCCCCGACACAGGTGGTCACGTGTTTGACGCGGGACAGCTATCTGACGCACTGCTTCCTGCAGCACCTCATGTTGGTGCTCTCCTCTCTGGAGCGCACACCTTCACCAGAGCCTGTTGACAAGGACTTCTACTCAGAGTTTGGGAACAAGACTACAGGTACCCTGTCCAGCACAGCTTGTAGACCTGTCCCAGGGTGGACATCAAAAGCCCCAGAGTGCCTCCCAGTACCCCAGAGTCCTCCCTGCCTCTCTCATTTTTCTCGTCCCTCTTAGCTGGCCAGGTTTTTCTGTGGGGCATTGCCACTGCAGAGCTTCCATCCCAGATATCCCTCAATCCCTTTGGTGTCAGCCCTGGGCTGCTGGCTTGGGGCACCCTTGCCTGCCTGTCTCACACAGGGTCTCTGGCTGGCTTGGGGCCCCTGGTGCTTTTAGCTCCTCCACAGGTCAGTTCAGGCCATAGCCTTGGTGACATATTTCTCTACAGGGAAAATGGAGAACTACGAGCTGATCCACTCAAGCCGCGTCAAGTTTACCTACCCCAGTGAGGAGGAGGTTGGGGACCTCACATACACTGTAGCCCAGAAGACGGCTGACCCAGAGAAGGCCCCAGGCCTCAGCATCCTGCTGTATATACAGGCCTTCCAGGTGGGCACGCCACCACCTGGGCGCTGCAGGGGCCCGCTGCGCCCCAAGACACTTCTGCTTACCAGTGCCGAGATCTTTCTCCTAGATGAAGATTATGTCCACTACCCACTGCCTGAGTTTGCCAAAGAGCCACCCCAGAGGGACAGGTACCGGCTAGACGATGGCCGTCGTGTCCGGGACCTGGACCGCGTGCTCATGGGTTACCAGCCCTACCCGCAGGCCCTCACTCTCGTCTTTGATGATGTGCAAGGCCATGACCTTATGGGCAGCGTCACCCTGGACCATTTTGGGGAGATGCCAGGTAGCCCTGCCAGGGCTGGCCAGGGTCGTGAGGTCCAGTGGCAGGTGTTTGTCCCCAGTGCCGAGAGCAGAGAGAAGCTCATCTCATTGTTGGCCCGCCAATGGGAAGCCCTGTGTGGCCGGGAGCTTCCTGTTGAGCTCACTGGCTAGCCCAGGCTGCACCCAGCTTTGCACCTGCCCTGTCCAGCCTGGTGCCTGCTCCAGGCAGGGAAGCAGGCTTTCTTTGTTCTTTTAAAAATGTTCTTTCCCCTACCTTTTGGTACCTTAATTTGACTGTCCTCACAGAGAATGTGGACAGGTGTTCAGTCAGTTCTTTCTGATGCTGGGAGCAAGAAAGCCAGGCCCCTCAAGGTGTCTATGTACCTTCAGCCTCCCATGGCGCCTCGCCTGCCCTGGAGTGGTGTGGTCGGGCGCCTCAGCGTCGTGTCTGTTACTGTGATGCCGTTGCTAACCTGTGGCGCTGTGGATCTGATCGGCCCTCCGCGTCCTTCCCCAGAGTGTCAAGTCCAGTCCTATGTTGTTGCTGCTGCTGTCGTTGTGGGCATTTTGCTGCTAATTGTGAAGCTGGCAGCAGAGTGCACATGAGAAGCCCCCTCCCCGGGCAGTTTTTCAAAGTGGAGGCCTCCCCTGGTCCAGACAAGTAGGGGAGCCTTCTGGGGGAAGGAGTCCCCCAGGCCTTGGGGCTGAGAGGGGTGGGGGCAGGGGACCTAAAGCTGCCAGCACCAAGTGTGATTCCTGTTGCCTATTTTCTCTATTCCAATAAAGCAGAGTTTGACACAGTCTGGGTCTTTTGGGTTAAGTATCACTGGGGCCCCAGTGAGGTCACCCAGAGCGTGGTCGGCATGGGAGAGGGTGCTCTGGAGATTTGGGTGGACAAGATCTGGGGGAAGGAGAATAGAGTAGGCCTCCAGGGGCCAGATATGTGTTAGAGACAGGAGAGCTATGAGGGGAACCTCTCGGGACACAGCCATGTTGGACTGTGGCTAAACCAGAATCCCAGGGCAAATGAGAAGAATCCACAACATTCCCCAGGGCACCCGAATCACAGCAGCCCAATGTGAAGGTAAGACCCAGAGTCCATGATTACTGGTATGTGTGGGTCTATTCTCACCAAGATGGCCCTTGGAGGTGAACCCAGGTGATGGCAGTGGAGAGCAAGGTCACCTGCCTGTCACTGTGTTCCTGTCAGAGAGTTGGAGGTTGCCTTAGGGAGCCCTGCTAGGTAGGACCTGAAATTTTTTGAGAGCTAAACCCTGTGCCCTACCCTTCCTCTGCCCCAATCCTACCACCAGTGATGGTCCCTTGCTCCTCATTAACCTCTTACCTAGCCCAATCGGGAGCCTCAAGCCCTGGGACCACTGGGATTCTGGAGAGGTAATGGAGGAATGTAGGGTGTGGCCCATCTGGCTACAAGGCCTGCTCTTATCCCCCTTTTCCCCTTGACACCAACAGAGGAGGGAGCCTCGCCTGGGTTTGTGGGGGTAGGTAAAGGGTGGAAGTAGTCACCCAGGGAAGGATCGCCCCACCCTCAGTGCCCCCCAAGCCAAACTCAAAGGCTAGCCTCGTGGCCCTCCAAGCTAGGAGGAGGAGGGCAAGTCACCAGCTCCCCATCCAGGTCTTTACCAAAGGCCTTTAAAAATGGCAACTTGGTTCTGTGGTCATCTCTTGCCTCTTCATCTCCATAACACCCTCTAAAATCGGAGTAGTGACAACACAAAGCAGAGTTTACCACACCCAGTGCTGAATAGGGGTCCCCACCATGGGTCACTAAAGATAAATCTGAAAGAGATAAGCTGAGCTACCCTGGATGAGCTAGCTACCTGGCCCCTCTTAGCTTCAGTTTCCCTACCAGTGACAGGGCAAATAACAATAACTACCCACATTCGTTGATTCATGCCGCACACCTGTCCCCAGGTGGCATGGCTTATTTACACCCTCCCATCGCCCTCCCTGATCTCCCAAAGCCGACATTCTGGGAGGGTGATAAATAAGCCATGCCAGCTGGGGACCATTTCGAGAGGAGGTGGAATCAGGTGTAAGGCCGCCCCATCAGCGGGCTCGGGGAAGCCCTCGAAGCCATGTTAAAAGGAAAAACCTGAGCCAAGTGTAGCTCAGTGGTACACACGAGGTCCTGGGCTCAATCCCAGCAACACACACATGGAAAAAAACTTAGGTAAATTAAATTTAGCCGTTTATTTGAATAAATAAAACAATTCTTGAATTGGACAGCTTTCAGAACCACAACAGGTTCTAACTCCTGCCAACTCTGAGGCAGCATTTACAGAAAACAGAAGTGAGGTATAGAGCCAGGAGTGGTGGCACACGCCTATAACCCCAGTGGCTCGGGAGGCTGAGGCAATTCAATGAGACCCTGTCTCTAAATAAAATATTAAAAAGGGCTGGGGATGTGGTTCAGTGGTTAGGCACCCTTGGGTTCAATCCCCAGTACAAAAAAAAAAAAGTATAGAGACAATTATTTTTTAATTTATTTTTTAGTTGTAGGTGGACACAATACCTTTATTTTATTTTTATGTGGTGCTGAGGATCAAACACAGTGCCTCACGCATGCTACATGAGCGTTCTACCTCTGAGCCACGACCCCAGCTCCTAGAGACTATTTAAATAGTTACAGCTGAACTGGTAATTAAACTGGGTAACTAAAGCCCTCTGAACTCCATCTTGATCTGGTCTGGTCTGGTGGGTCTCAAGCAGGAGCTCCACCCAAACCAGTGGCTATCTACACATTTTAGCACCTTTGACCTGAGACTGCACCTATGGTAAAGGACCAGCATGTGACCGTCAGCGTGGTAACTGGAGCAGAGTGAATGGGGGAGGGTAGATGCAGCAGGAAGCAGGAAAGGCCCGACGGGCACTGAGGGGGGGTCAGTTGTCAGTGTGGTGAGGGGAGAGCATGGAGGGTTTAGGGTCAGGAGTGGTGCAGGCTGGACCGTCAGGACTGGCTGGTGGAGTGGCTGAGACTGTTGGGATGAGGATTTGCAAGGCCACCCCATGGCATCTGTGCCACCCGTGGGATGGTGCCTGGCAGGGAGTCCCAGTCTGGCAGTTGGAAGGGTCAAGGCAGGGGCAGACGCAGTTCCCTACCCCTCAGCAACCAGAATCCCAGAGACTAAATAAAAAGTGCTAGGCTGGCCAGATGAGTGGGTGTCATTACATTTGCATTTGAATTTGCTTCAGAATCTGATAGAGCCTAAGCCCATGGTTAAAGGTGGGTTTGGGCTTCCAGGCCAAGAGGGTCTTGCGCCCGGAATCTGTGAACAGGTTCCAGGCTGTTCATGCCGGGGTCAGTGGCCCGCGCCTTCCTTTCCGCCTGCTGGCTGCTGATACGTAAGAGGAAATCCTGGAGGGTTCCTGTGGGGGACTGCATTTAAGAACACGGCCCGCCCCATCCAGCCTGCCCACCCCTTGGAGCTCATTCCCTTGCTGTGACTTCTGTCCTGGACGGTGTACTTGCCAACCACCGCCAGTCATGGCGGAGCCCCGGGGTCTCCTCTTGCTCTGTGTCCTGGTCTCCTGCCTGGCAAACTCCAGCTTCATCAGGGGCCAGAAGGTGAGTGTGAGCCAGTTTGCAGGGGCTCATGGTATCCAGACCCTGCCAGCTAGCAGTGGGATGGTGGGACATGGGCTGGGGTATAGACACAACCGTTTCTTGGCTGGCCTGTGTAAAGCCCAGGTAGCCAGGCCCATATGCCTACTTAGTGTCACCTGGGGTGCAGGGGTACATTAGCCTGCCCTCTGTGCCTGACTAGCCAGCCATTTGTGGGCAGCTGTCCTAGCCTGTGAGTAAGGGGAGGCAGAGCCAAACCCATCTGCCTTCCCTCCCCACCCATACTGAGGCCCGAATTTCTGTGTGGCTATCACCTGGGGATGGGAGATGTGATCATTGCTGACCCCTGTGGGACCCGCAGACTGAGAGACTCATGGAACATGTGTGTATGTGTGTGTGACTGTCCAGCTCTAAGACTGCCCGGGGACAGAAGCTCTGGGTAAATGCAGCCAATGAGAATGTTTTCAAGCTTCCAAGTTGCCACCAGTCCGTCCTGGGCATAACCCCTCATGTCCTCACGACCACTGGGCAGAGCGTCCTTTTGTGCTCCTAGATGGATGTTGGACACCAAGGCCTGCGGATGACAGAGATGGACCATTCCCACTCTGGAGTCCTGCTCCACCTCATACCTGCTGTTTGCCGTCTGGGCATGCTGGTGTGAGCTCCAGCGTGGCTCCTCTGGTCCATGAGGCCAATCATGGCCCCAATGTCTATCCACAGATTCCCCCCAGGGCCCATGCTAGGGACACAGCTCCTGCTCAAACTTCAGGAGGAGGCTCATACCCTGGGTATGGAGATAGGGTCCCCTGCCTGGGATCTGCTGCCAGGTGAGGGGACTTCCCTTACAAAGCCAACTCCCACTTGTTTCTTGGAGTAGCTGTCACTGTCCCTGTGGCATCAAGAGGCAGGCTGGGGTTGAGATAGGAGAAGGCTTGCCCACGACCCACCTTCAGGTAGCGCTACCCAGCACAGGGACTCACATGACAGAAGTCAGTGAGAGGTCTTAGATTGGAGTTTATTCCTTGTTGGAGACCTGTAGCTCTGAGAACCTCTAAATCTGCTATTTGGGGACTGGGACTCGGCCAGACTGGGCCTGGAAACAGGGTTCAGGGTCCCCTGTCAGCAGCAGGTTCTGTCTCTTTTTTTTTTTTTGTACCAGGGATTGAACCCAGGGGCTTAACCACTGAGTAACATGTTCTCCCAAATTTGCATAGGCCCTTGCTAATTTGCTGAGTTTGGCTTTGAACTCGCAATTCTTCTTCCTCAGCCTCCCAAGCTGCTGGGATTACAAGCGTGCACCACTATGCCTGGTCTTGTGTTCAGAGCCAGGCCAGGGATAGTACAGGCTAAGAAAGTAAGAGTGGTAGTGGAAAAGCCAAGGGTTCCAGGGCTGTGCTGAGTTCTGCTGGCAAGTTCCTGCCCGTCCCCTGCCTCAGTTTCCCCATGTGTACCATGCAAAGGAATCTCACAGGATGCCATCTCCTCATATTCCAGGAGATGGTGACCAAGTCAGTGAGATGTCTTGGATTGGGGTTTGTTCCTTGTCAGAGATCTATAGCTCTGAGCATCCCTAAGTATGCAATTTGGGGATAGGGGCTCAGCCAGCCTGTGCCGGAAAAGAGGGCTCAGGGCTCTTGCAAATGGAGATGTGGCAATGGGGGCCTTATTTCATAGCCACTCAGGCTGCCTGGCTCCTTGTGTAGCATGAGACCCACTATAACTATTAGAAACGGAGGGTCTAAGGGGAATGGACATCCCCTGGGTCACATGGCCAGTAAGAGGTAGCAGCAGGACAAGTTCCAACAGCAGCAGAAACGGGGAAGGCTTCCTGCGGAAGCAGTTTTAGCAACCTAGCAGTCTTCTGCCTCCTTGGTGTTGGGCATGAGCCTGTGGCCTTAAGCCAGGGTTCACAGGGAGAAGAGCATTGGCCAGGACCCAGCTCTGTCCCTCCCTGCTTGGATCTAGGGTTGGGGGAAGCAGTATGGGGGCCCCCTCCCTCTCTGAAGGGATTTGGGTTCTGGGATGTCAGCCCCAGCTCAGTCCCAGCTTGGGAAATTTCTTCCACCTTTTTACCACGGGGCTTAAACGTCCTGTTTCCTGAGCTTCCCCCAAAAGTGTCTCTGTGGGAAGCAGACATTGCCAACTCAGCTCCAGCTGGGCATGTGGGGGGTGGGGAGGCAGCGCTCTGGCTACGCTGGGTCCCCAAAGTGCCCCAGA